GCCTCCTGCCTTTCCTCTTCCTCTGCCACTGCAGACACACCTTCGTGGTCTTCTCTGATGCAAGTAATGAAGGGCTGAGAATTGGGGATTCTGGAGTCTCTGGGTAACACTAGTGGGATAATGGTTGAACAAGATGGTCTCCAGGGTTCTTCCAGTTTTGAGTCACAATTCCAAGCCACAAAGATTCACCAACCACCTAAATTAAGTAATAGGTTCAAGGTCACACAGTGAGCAAATAGCAGAGCCATCGTTTGAACCCAAGTCATCTAGTCCTAGACTCTGCTCTTATTTCTTTCAAACCTTATTCTGTCTCTATGCTATTATGCCCAACAATTCTGTTCAGGACAAGGATAATGTTCCCTGCTTGTTGTCATTTGTATTTTAAGGACTGCAGTTGTTCTCAAATTCAGACTTAGAATTCAATTTGAGAGCAAGTGGGTTTTGTGGTCTGTTTAGTTAAAATTCTAGAACACAGAGTCTTCAGCTTTTTTTCCTTAAGGACTAGGGCTTGCTCTGAAAAGCATCATGGGGCTGAACCCCATTCAAGATATGGGAGTTGTTTACAGTAAATCTTCCCCTGTACTGTGGGTGGGCCTCTAGGCAGGAGGGCCCTGGGGAGGAAATTCATTGGTCTCACTTGCCACGCTCAGGGTGGCCAGAGTCCATTATTTTGCAGCACAGGTGAGGATGAGAGAGACGGTGAGAGGGGGTTGGGGGGGGAGAGAGAGAGAGAGAGAGTGTGTGTGTGTGTGTCTGCCTGTAATAAAGTGCATCAGCTTCAAGCAAGGCTTCTTCTCCTCTTGGAAGTTCAAAGTGCAGAGGTGACATATCCTGTTTTAAATTGAGGATGGTGTTTTCAAATACGTTAAAATAGCGCTTATTATCAAAGGGTAAAAAGGAATATGCTTAAAAGTATTAATACCTTATTGGCTTAGAGGCACCTCACCGGCTTTAAAATGCTTTCTTGGCATGGAGTGTAAATGTTATTGGCTTTGAACTCACCCCTGAATTATGCAAAGCTTTTGCCCCTCTCTTGACTGCCAAATGTCTCTGAGTCCCCCTCAGCAGTGTCTCGCTGAGAGGCCACACTGCCAGAGACCATCGGGCGGCTGTAAAATCTGACAGCGAGTGAGGGAATCCAAATCTATTTCTTATTGAGTAGCCAGGATGCTTGGGTAACTCCACAGCCAGCCGTAGATCGCTTTAATGGACGGCAAGGGACATGTCATCTCGGTAGCATCTGCATGGAGTATCTTCCCGGACCAGTCTAGGCTGAGGAAGGTCCAGGTGTGGCTGTGCTCAGATGTGAGCAAAGCCCACCACCCCACAAATCCTGGGCTTTTCTAGGACCTCTTCTATCATGAACTTGGTATCTCAATCTTTGGAATTTGAGAATTGACTTAAAAGGTAACTTTCTGGTACCAAGCACTCTGCTCTCCTTCTAATGCTGAATTCACTTCATTATCCAAGCTCTTTAGTCTCTTACAGTAAATAATTGTCCACAGCTGTTGCGAGTTGGTTTATCCTCCAATAAAGGTCAGGATGGCTGACTAGACATCAGAGGAAAAACTTCTAAAATTTGGTGTTTAGACTAACTTACATCTATGTTTATCTCTTTTGTGTTTGTTGTAACTAAATAGGCAAGTGTGGGTTGTGGTTAAAACATGACCAGGCAACCTGGATGTCCTGGTTTTCTTTCTTGTTCTAGTTAATTCTGATGCATGTGAAATTCTCTCCATCATCCTATGCCTCAGTTTCCCCAGCTGTCACACATAGATCAGCAGTCACCGTTTTCTTACGCAGACTTCCTCAGGGAGGTTAATGGGGATCCACTTGTCCATAAGCTGTGAAAGCAAATACTGGAGACCAGTTTTCTTTACAAGACAGAGGGAGGGCCAATCCATCTCCATTGCCTGACGAGCTTCACCTAAAGCCGAATCAGTCACAAACGCAGGACTGCTGGAGCTCACAATGAAGACAGAACTGCTCCACGTGAAAGTTTACCTTTAACATCAGGAGGCCGAAGAAGCAAAAAGAAACCCTGTCCCAGCAGGAAGTGGGATCCTTCGGTGCATTCCATTTCCCGGGGAACTGAGAGATGAGGGAAGGCTTCTGCCACATACGTTTCCAGATGGGATTTCTGGTCTTGGCTTGTGGTGGGGCCCACACAGGCTCTCCAGCTGTGTCCTGGGATCTCTAGCGGGAGGCCTAGCAGCAAGATGAAGCAGGAGATATCCTCCCAGGGATAAAAATTTATTAGGTTAAAACCTAATGCAAACACAAGTTTCTCTGGAAACACCAACACAAGGAGCAAAAGGATAAGCAAAGATGATTCCAAAGAAAATGTGGCCCATTGCGATGAATGGTTAGGGAGGAGGGGAAGCAAACTGTGGCAAACTGTAGGCTGGGAACAAAGAACAAGAATCTGAAGGTTTCTACAAAGGAAGCCCCTGACCCCCCCAGTTGGACACATTATAATCTCATGCCTAGAATATTTCTAAGGCTGCTGAATAGGCCTCTCTGACCTCAGTCTCTGATCTGTTGAATAGTTCACTTTCATCATCAGGCTAATTTGGGTATACAGTAGGAGGAGCATGGTATAAAGTAGAACCTCGTGGAGTCAGACAGACCTGGAACTATAAGAGTTACCTAAGGGGACTTCCCTGGCGGTCCGGTGGTTGAGACCGCCTTCCAATGGAGGGTGTGCGGGTTCGATCCCTGGTCAGGTAGTTAAGATCCCACATGCCTCTCTCGGCCAAAAAAACAAAATGTAAGACAGAAGCAATATTGTAACAAATTCAGTAAAGACTTTAAAAAATGGTCCACGTCAAAAAAAAATCTAAAATAACAGTTATTGAACCTCACTGGACCTCAATTTTCTTACCTGTAAAATGGGGATAATAATACTATCCCTTTGTAGGACTCTTATGAAGATTGAATGAGATATTGCCTGCAAGGTACTTAGTATACTACCGGGCACATCAGAATCCTTCAATAAATTGTAATTGTTACTCCTCCCAGCACCATCACTTCCCAGCTTACAACCCTTTCATCACTCCCCATGGCATAAAGGCTGAGCTCCTTGTGTACAAACTATGGCTCCAGCTGGCTTTCTAGACCAATGCTGTGCAGTAATGGAAATGTTCTCTCTCTGTGCTGTCCAGTAGAGAGTAGTGTCCGGTAGCCACTGGCTACATGTGGCCACTGAGCACTTGAAAAGAGTATGACTGAGAAACAGAATGTTAAATTTTTTTTAATTTTAACTTATTTAGTTGTAAATAGTCACGGGCAACTACTATATTAGACAGGGCAAGTCTTAGCCTTTTGCATTTCCCTCGGAAAGCATCCATTCTAGCCAAATGGATTTTTTCACCTCTTGCTTTTTTCTTCTAAACCTTCAAGTCTACAGGGTGCTGCATACAGCTGTGTGGTTTGTGCACTGCAGAAAGATGCCTAGCTGAGGGGAAAGTAGGACCTGAAGCTGAGTCAGTGCTTGGCTTATCAACATGCTTGTCCTGATGTGGGGCTATGTCTGCAGGGAGGTTGGGCCATTTTTTCTAACTCACCTACCCAGAAGGGGAGCCTTACTCAAAGGTGCCTTTATGCCAGCAGTGTCCCTGTGTACCTGTCCTCCTGCTTATTACCTCTCTGGCCAAAACTATCTTGTCTTATGAGACTAGCCCAAACTCCTGCTCACTCACTAAGCTTCTTCCTCCTCTAATCTTCCAGAAGTTTCTTCATCTGTGAGACAAGGTGGAGGCCAGTGGCTAAGAGTTCGTGTGCCTAGTTGGAATCCCTACTTTGTCACCTATATGTGACTTTGGCCATGTTATTTTCTCTCTCTAACTATGTATTCCAGCTATACAATGGGACAACAACAATAGCACTTCTCTCGTAGGATGGTTTTAAGAAGTAAATGACAAAGTGGTTAGTTTCGTAACATGGTGCCTAGCTTAAAGTGAGGGTGGATCCCATGTATATACTCATTCTTTCAATAAATATTTATTGAGCATCTACCACATGCCAGACACCTTGTCAAGCTCTGGAAATCCAATGGTGAGTAAACACAGATAAAACCCTTGACCACCTAGAGGTATGTGGGGATACAGGTGATATTTCAAATGATGACACAAACAACTGTGGTACTTCAGTGGGGACAAGTCCAAAGGAAAGATTCCTGGTGCTGTGAGAGCCTGTGGTAGGTTTTCTCCTACTCAAGGAGGTCAGAAAAGAGTTTTCTGAGGACAGGATTCTTGAGCTGAAATTGGAAGGAGGGTGAGTAGGTGTTGGCTAGTTGAAGAGGAGAGGGAAGGGTGTTCCGGGCATGGGGAACAGCATATGCAAAGACCTTTGTGGGGTGGGACTGAAGAGCCCCCAGAGGGAAAGAAACAGAAAGGACAAGATGGGGCATGGTATGAGTCCAGGCTGCAGAGGTCAGAGGGGCAGCCTGGGCAGGGTCTTATAGGCATTGGAGGAAGATCAGAGGAGTGTCATCATCTGTTTTTCTTCTCCACGAGACCTCTCTGGCTTTAATGTGGAGAACTGATCAGACGTTACACAGGGTAGGAGTAGGTAGATCTGGAAACTACTGCAGCCCTCCAGGCCAAAGGTGGTGGTGGGGAAAGAGACCCCGAAAATGTTTGGATTTGAGAGCTATTATTATGTTCCTCTCATCCAAGAATTAATGACATACTATTTTTTGATGGTTAACACAGTTACGTGTTTCTATTTTCTCAAGTCTCCTATCACTGTCTGAAATGCTCTCCTCTGTCATTCTAATTAGAGGATAAAATCTTTGTAGGCAAGAGTTCTTTTATATTGATATTTTATTTGTATAACTTGCCTGGCACCCTGCTTACAGTAACTGTAAAAGGAATATTTGCTAAGGTGTTTTCTGAATTTCATGTACTAGTGAGAAGGGCAATAGTATGAGTGGCTGAAAATTTGGGAGGGTTGTGGAGTATGAGATGACAGAAATCTCTTTTTATCTGTGTTACCAGAGGAACCATGCAAAACCACCAAGGAAGACAAAGTACACAGTTACCCCAACTGGAGGAGGACTTCTTTTCCAGATGGGCAAGCCTTACCTGAGAGAAGTAAGTAAAACCAGCATGACAATACTTATCCCCCAATGTACTTGCAATGAAAGACAAGACCTAAAAGTGATCTTCACATGTGCTCTACATTACAGAGGTTGGTGAAACAACACAGAATAGCTCATTCTTCTTTCTTATTCTCTTCTCAACTTCAAACTTTTAAATACTTTAGTTTTTTGTTTTCAGGGGAAAGCAGTAGAAATCCCAACTCAGGGTGACTTAAGTTAGAAAGAAATTACTCTCTCAAATAATAGGTGGTCCAGAATCTGGGTGTTCTCCAGGAACGTCCATGAGCTCAACTATGTGGCCAAGGATGAGATGCTTGCCCATTCTGTCCTGTAGAGCATCAGCCTCAAACCAAAGCTGATTCCCTTCAAAGTCGTAAGGTAAGTAGGGTAGCCCAGACAGGGTCTTGTTGGCATGGAAGGGAAAACTCTAGGGCAGCAGATACAATAACACGCATCCTTTCCATCTCTATTGGAAGAAATGGAAAGTTTATCCCCATGCCACAAACTTAAACTCATCCCCTTCAGTCTGATTGGGTCAAAAAAGGCCATGCGCCTGTTCCCAGACTAATCACAATCTCCATGAAAACTCCCGTTCTCTGACTGACTTAGAATAAGATTGATTTACCCCTGGAGCTGAGGTTAGAGAGGTTTCACGAGCAAAACTGGGTGTGCATTCACAAGTGAAAAAGGGAAAAAGGTGTTGGAAAGGCGACAGCTTCCTAGGATGAGCTGCTCTCTAGCAAAACGAGATGATTTTATAACTCACTCCAGTTCCACTTCATTCATCCATCCATTCGTCCACTCACTCATGAATATTTATTGGGTGCTTACTCTGCACTGGCTCTAGGCAAGCTTATTGAGGCATCTCAAGAATTTTTCAACTACCTCTGCATATATTTTTTCATTCACTTGCCACATACGGAGGCAAGTAGCCATATAAGAGACCAACCTATTCACGTGGCACATTTTTAAAAACCCATGCTTCTAACACTCAGTTTTTACATTCAGATCTTCATAAATCTGGATTCCAACAGGACCAGGTCACGATATCATTTTGGACCATTGTCAAGGAGGATTTATGATGGTTGTGTGCATGACCCAACCATATGCTGTGTCTGTGGAAACACTTGGGTTAGCCTGCTTTAATGTATGTATTGATGACAAAGAAAGTTACACCATACCCCAGGAAAAACACAACATGAAAACATTCCCCAATTTATCAGTGAACAGCCTATAGAAATAATGGCCTTCTTGGTAAAATCAAGACATGATGAAAAATAATTAATAGATACTTCTTGAACAAGACATAACAATCAGAGGATCTGGAAGCCAGCTGTCATAACATTTCTTGAGAAGAAGGTGCATTTTATTGGCTCCGTGAAACCTGTGCCTTTAGGCCCCTTAGCAAAAGGCCAGGAAATGCAGACCCGACCCACAGATAATGCTGGGTTTTTTGTTCTTATATCCTTTCAGCACAGAGCCCAAGTCTTGGGAAACAAGGTGTGATTTTCTGAACTGAACTGATCTTTTCCTGTGCCTGATCTGAGAAATCTTGAGTGTCTTTCGTGGTGATCTGAGAGAATGGGATCCCTTATCTTCACACCCATAAATCACTCAACTTCGTGGATGAAGCTGGGAAAGAAGCCTACAGGATATATATGTTATGTAGGTAGGCACAAAGATTAAACAAAATACTGCATATAGAGAATACCAGTAAGGGAAGGGGATGGGGAGAGGGGTTGACTACAAAATGGCAGCGTGAGGATATTTTTTAGAAAGATGAATCTGTTCTATATCTTGACAGCGGTGGTGGATACATAGCTGCGTGCACTTGTCAAAAGTCATAGCTCTATACGTCAAAAAGAGTTACCTTTAATATATATTAATAAAAAGTAAATAAAATGCCCACACACAATTTTTAATTAATAAATCCCCAAGTGCCAAGCTAGATTTTCATAATAATAATTTAAAAATACAACCCCCAGCTTCAAGGAGGTAATCGTTTTGGGGGACAGACATGTAAAATGTTAGCTTCTTACCATCTCCATAAAAGGTCTTTTCACATACACTCAGCTCTCTGCTTCTCAGATTTGTCACTCTCCTGGCCCCTCTGCACAGGCTATTCCCGTTGTCTGGAATATTCTTCTCTGTTTTTCCCTGCAGTTGGTTAGTTCCTCTTGACCTCTTGGATCTCAGCTTAGTCACCTCCTCCAGGAAGCATTTCTGGACGGCCTCTTCGCCAGGCTCAGGTGTGCGTTCCTTTTGGGCCCTCCTCAGCACCTCCCGCCTGTGACTCTGCTTACATGCCTGGTGCTTCCATGGATTGTGGGTTGATGAGGGTGGGAACTCTGAGTCTTGTTTGCTTGTGTAGCCAGCACCCAGGACAGTGCCTGGATGGTAAGTGCATGATAAAGTTGACAGTACGTAATGAAGAGTAGAGAAATAATTTTTAGTGGATGACAGGTTAATGGCAGGATGATAGAGAGATTCTAAGTGAAGAATAAATAAGGCCCACCCTGACATCTCTACTTAGTTGTGGTTCTTGACCTTGGCAAGTAACAGGAGCCAACTTGAGCAAACTTACACAAAATAGAGACTTTATGGACAGGATATCAGAAGAACTCTGAAACTCAAAACTCATTGGGTTACACGAAAAAATAGAACCAGCAACTGAATAGCTTTTGGAGACCGAGACAGCATTTTTTCTCCACCTCTAATCTCCTTTTTTTTTTTTCCTATGGCTCAATTTCATTCCTCCCTCTGATCCAACTTCATTCTCCTCTGTCCCTGGTGCACATGTTGGAAAAAGCCCACCCAAGAACTCGATGTCCCTTTTCCTTGAAAGGAACTAGTCCAGACTAATTGCTATCTGTAAATCCCAACATCAAAATCCTGGAAGGAAGAATTCAGTTGTTTCACTTGGGGCCAGATCTCTACCTACACATCAGACAATGCTGTCAGGGTGTGGATTCCCATGGCACACACGTGGCTGCCAAGTTGACTCTGCTCTTAGAGAAGGAGTGTTATTTTGGGGTTGAGCAGACATGCCAATTGGCCACCACTGTTATGACAGACAGACTTATTAGGTGACCCCATGATCTTCGTCTCCTGGTGTTTGTGACCTTGAGTGTGGGCAAGGCCTGTGACATGCTTTTATCCAGTAGCATATGACAAAGGTGATATATGTGATTACAGGTATATGATTTTGTAACATAAGGTTGTAGCATCCATCTTGCTGCAGTCTTCCCCTCCCTTAATTTGAGGTGGCAGGTGATCATGTTGGGAGACCCTACATGCTAGGAGCCGAGGATGGCCTCTGGTCAACAGCCATCAAGAAACATTAAGTCCTCAACGCTATGGCCGCAAGAAACTAAATTCTGTCAACAACCTGGATGAGCTGGGAAACGATCCTTCCCTAATCGTCTCAGATGAGATCACAGCCCAGCCAATACTTTAACTGCAGCCTCGTGAGATCTTACTTGGAGGGCCCATCTAAACCATGCCTGGAAATTCTGACCCACAGAAACTGTGAGATAATTAAACGTAAGCTGTGTGGAGCTGCTAAGTTTGTGGTGATACTGTTACACAGCAGTCAAAAACTAATAAAACCACACAATATTTTTCAATTAAAGGTACATAAAAAGGGTCACAATTTCTCTGTAAAAACCTATAAAGTAACCTTCAAACTAAGGCCACACTGTTCTGGGTGGTCAAAGAATGGCACAAGAGCCACCCCTGATGGTCAGTTGCAGAGGTGCTCTGAGCCGTCAGCAGGAAGTCACACAGTAGAGGAGGTTTAACGTTGATCCCCCAGCCCCTGCCAGGATGCAGATGTTTTCTCTTGGGAAATTTGTTCTCAGGACATGGAGTGGTGAGCTCACATGGGGGCTTTGAGGTATCATATTTAAATGCCAGCCTCAGGAGTTCACAGTGGTAGGGAGCCCAGAGGCAGCAGGTAGGTGGCCCAGGGAGAAGTGTGAGGTGGGGTAGCAGGAAGGGCGAGGCAGCCAGAAGTGGTGTTCTGTTCTGGAGTGGTGTCTGCGGTGTAGCTTTACTCTGCCTGAGCTAATGGTGGGCTCAAAGATACTGATTTCTGACGCTGCTAAGTTGGGAGTGCGGGGAGGGTTTCGGTGTTGCACACGCCTGCTTCAGGGCACAGGTCTTCATCTCTCAGCTCCAACTTTAGTTACCATAGGAAAGAGAGCTAGTTTCTTCTCTTCCCACGGAGTAGGGAGTGACTGTAATGCTGGAAATATCCACAGGATTGTCCCAGACTTTACTGACAAAAATTGCCTATGATGCTTGTTAAAACTCCAGATTTCCAGAACTCTCCCTTGGAATTCCTGCTTCAGTTGGTCTAGGCTGGGCCCAGGAATCAGGTCTTTCATCAAGCCCTCATGTGACTTGTGTCTTCAGGGCAGTTTGGGAAACTTCTGTACATGACTGTTTGTGGAGTTTGTCCAGCATGATGTCAGTGGTTCTTACCCTATGCTGGAGAGGTGGCCGCATTCCAAGATTAGAATATGATGCCCATTTGAGCCCCCACCCCTCCCCCAACCCTGAGTACTGCATAGAAAGCTCAGAGAAGCCCTACAGCAAAGGATCCGTAGATACACTTCCCAAAGGGACTGGGTCAGGAGACTGCCCTAACTATCCCCATTGCCCACCCACACACCCGAGGAAGGTACCCTCCAGGAGGGCGTCTTCCCGCTAAGACTCTTGGGGAAATAAAACACATGCACCAAAATCGATGTTCACAGACAGAATGCACCTGAACCTTCATGGTCTGGGGGAAGTCAGCCAAAACCCCTCACCCTTCCTGCCCTGTTTGTCCTTGTTTCCTCTGGACCAGGCAACCCAGTCAGGCTGGCTCCTGTCTTGGCTTTCGTCGCTTTTTCTTCCTCATCAACCCGCTACCCTCCCCACTAAAACGCCATCCTTAATAAGCCCATCTGCTCACATGCTCCAGTTCTGCATGACACCTCTGTTGGAAAGGGCCGGCGGAAGCAGCCTCACTTCCCCTTGGTGTACACCAGGAGAACTGTGAACAGGGGAGGGAGCCCAATGTGATCTTGTGAGGCAGTGGAGGATGAAGCCTGACTTTCAGGAAAAGCTCTTTTGGCTTCTGAGCTCTCTTCTGTCTGGCTTTGCCCCTCCTTCTCTGGCCAGTCCTTCTGGATGCTGGCTGTGGCCTCCCTGAGACCAGGCCAGCCAGCCCTGAAATATGTGCTATAAGGGCATGTCCAAGGACAGGCAGGAATTGACAGCCTCTATTCAACAAATGGACCCAGCACAGCTCCTGGCAAATAGAGGTGCTCCAGACCCCATAAAACCACATGGCTATTTGGTCTCCAAGAGGCATGGCTTGCATAAACACAATTAATGAGTCAAAAGTAATAAAAAGGAGCAGAGTTCCTTTACTCCTGTATTTTGAAAATAAGAAAGAAGATGCAAATCCTTGCAATACTTACTACAATCCCATTTCTTGTCTTCTACCTTCCCCAGACCCTGCAGCTACACTAGAACCACCCCAGCCCCCAGCAAACACAGAAACACACACTCACAGCACATACACGTCGTGCATGTGGACACAGCATACACATCCAACATGTACACGTGAACATACCCCTGCCGTACTCTGAGGATGGCAGCTTTCCTCCCTCCTCTCCCCCTACCCTGGGTGCTTTATTGTGGAGACTGACTCAGCCTCTCCCACCCTCTAAGTCAGATTCTGTTCTCTCACAGAGGATGCCTGAGGGAGAGAAACGGAGGACCCACCGTAGGATTCTCTCCACCGAGCTGAGACAGGAGATGGACCTGTGAATACTTTTCAGCCCATTTATCCCATTACGTGCGCCATTATTACAGGCAGGTGAGAAATCAGGTATAGCCAGCTGCTTAAAGACAGAACATTCTGATACCTGGAGGTGAGAAAACTAAACTTTGCTTCCACTAGACTGTGAGCTCTCTGGTAGGTGGCCCTGTGCCCTGTGGTCTGCATCTCTCTCTAGCGCCTAAATCATGTGTCACACTTGGCACTAAATCTCCCGGAAGGAATCATGTATTGGGTGGTAATTATATACAAGCAGGTAATTTACCCATATTATTTAATCTTTGCTCCAATCCACATCATTGAAGAGTATGAGTTCTAATATAATAATACTAGCACTTAAGTACCTATCTAGTCCTTACCAAGCATTGTTCAGAGTTTTTAACAAACATTAACTCATTTGACCTTCACAAGAATGCCAGGAGGCGGATGCCATTATTATTACCTATTTACACAGAGGGGATGGAAGGCACAGTGAGGCTCTGCACCTTGGCAAGGTGATGGTAAGTGATGGAGGCCTGATGGGCACCCCGTCCTGTCCTTAGCTGAAGCTTGCCTGCCTCTCACAGTGTTGTGGGTCAGAGCACAGTTTCCGGATGTGGGCAGCTTGATCTGGAGTTAACCCTGCACTTTCTAGCTATATGAGCTGAAGTCACTTACTTAACCCATTCAAGCCTGTTTCCTCAACTGGACAAAGAAGATAATAGAGATTTTAAACTCAGAAACTTTCTGTGAGGACTGAGTTAACATATCTTTCTAGAACCCTGCTTGGCATGTATTAAACCTTTCATGAAAAAAAGCCATTATTATTAATAATAGCACCAAGTTGTAGTTGAGAAAACAGAGGACCAGAGAAATTAAATCACTTGCTCAAGGTCACACAGCTAGTCAGTGGTAGATATAAGGTGGAAACCTAGGTTGACCTGCCTTTTAGCCTTGTATTCTTGCTTTTTTTTTTTTTTTTTTTTTTTGTAGCCTTGTACTCTTTTATCTAGCAAACTTGCCACTACATTTTCATTGAGATCCAGGATATGAAAGCACAGCAAATTGTTTTGTTAGGTCATCTCTTCTACGCGCGTACCACTCTTGCATACAGCCAGCTCACGGTGACACTGGACACTCTAGGATGCATGTTCCCAATGCTGTGGATCGTCAACAGAATTAAATCTAAATGTCAAATTACATCCTGTCTGTTTGGCCTTTCCTAAACACACATAAAACTAAAATCTTTGTAGACTGCTGTGCTATTTTCCAAAGCATTTTCCAGATGCGTTATTCTCCCCAGCCTTCAAAGTCCTATACTAGGCCCTCTCCCTCAAGGGCACCTTTGCCTGGACTGTGGTTCAATACATGTGGTCTCTATCCCACCTTTGCTGCACAAGGTCCCTCAGGCATTGTCTGCAACATATGAATCTCCAAAGGGTTGCAACTCAAGTTTGGAAAACAGGCTCTGAGTGTCATGTACAGTTCCTGAAGGAGTGGCTACTGTGAGCAAAGGTGTGTTCAAACTCCAGGTCACTACTGGAGAGAGGTAAGCTGAGCCCAAATTAAAGGAAGCCTTATTTGCATTTTGGGGAGTAAATTCATTTAACTCGTACCTCTCTACCCCTGAAAGTGATACAGGTTAACTGCTCAGTTGCTTCAAATTAAACTCTAAATTGTTTCAAGAAGATGTTTTATAACTAAGAAATTCTTAGTGAGTTACATCCAAAGGAAGAGGTGCTAAAAATCAAACTGGCATATTTGTATATCTTTGACTTTTTTGGTTGATGTCAGAAAAATAGCCATATTTTCCAACAAATTTATCAGACATGATGTTGGTAAAAGTTTTCTGGGAAGAACTGGGAATTATCTTCCCATTGAGTAAAAGTTTAGTACTGCTTTATTTGCATTTAATTAATTGATAAATACCACCTGCTCATAAATTAAAATTAAAAATACTATTGTTAGTAAATCAGAGTAGTTGATAAAACATATTATATATATGACTACACTGGGGGCTGGAATAGATCTATGTAACATTTTCACTCAGAAATAAGGGCCATCATAAGCAAGAGAGCTCCAGCAAGCTTTAAAGCATGGTTTTTATTAGGATTGCCCATGTTTCTGGTGTAGGAGAAAAATATAACTATGCATACAAAGCACATGGCATTGACTTAAAATGTCACTTGCTTATAGAAAAGTCCAAATTAAAACCAAACGAAACAAAAATGGATTAACAGATAATTTTCTTAGCCAGAGATGGATTCTACCCTATATTTATTAGTTGACAAGTGTTTTAACAAAGTATCTTAAATTACCAGGACTATTAAGATGTCCTGTTACATCCCTGCAATATAAGCTAATATTTTATGATTCAAAGATCCTAAGTACACATTTTTTTCCTAAACACAACTGAAAAAAAGTAAAGACTTTAAAAAAGTTAAATAAAAATATAAGGGCATCAGTGGGATATTATATTTTAAAGCAACCCTTGGAAGATCTTTCTGTGATGTCAATAATCAGTTCCTGATGTATCTGCTTTTTAAAAAAACTCATCTTCCTGTATCTAAAATAAATTTAATAAGAAAAAATAGAAGCCCTTCTTAATCTTTTGTAATTCAGACATTTTGGATCCATTGCACTAGGAAATGCTACTTTTTAAAAACGTATTTGATAGTACAGTCTATTAAAACATTGCTCTTATTGTCTCAGGGAGAAAACTTTCTCCTTTATTCCAATGATAAGTCTGTTAAAGCTCAGTGATTGTTGGAGAAACGATAAGTATTTTCAAAAACTCTGCCCAGGAGGACCTTCAAGATTGCGGAGGAGTAAGACGTAGAGATCACCTTCCTCCCCACAGATATATCAAAAATACATCTACATGTGGAACAACTCCTACAGAACACCTACTGAACATTGGAAGAAGACCTCAGACTTCCCAAAAGGCAAGAAACATGCCCACGTACATGACCGTGTGGCAGACAGGGTCTTGGTGCTCCAGCCGGCTGTCAGGCCTGAGCCTTGGAGGTGGGAGAGCTGAGTTCAGGACATTGGACCACCAGAGACCTCCTGGCCCCACAGAATATCAGTTGGCGAGAGCTCTCCCAGAGATCTCCATCTCAATGGGAAGACACAGCTCCACTCAATGACCAGAAAATTCCAGTGCTGGACACCCATGCCAAACAACTAGCAAGACAGGAACACAACCCCACCCATTAGCAGAGAGGCTGCCTAAAATCATAATAAGTTCACAGACACACCTAAACACACCACTGGACTCGGTCCTGCCCACCAGAAAGACAAGATCCAGCCTCATCCACCAGAAAACAGGCACCAGTCCCCTCCACCAGGAAACCTACACAACCCACTGAACCAGCCTTACACACTGGGAGCAAACACCAAAAACAACAGGAACTATGAACATGCAGCCTGAAAAGGAGACCCCAAACACAGTAAGTTAAGCAAAATGAGAAGACAGAGAAATATTCAGCAGATGAAGGAGCAAGGTAAAAACCCACCAGACTAAACAAATGAAGAGGAAATAGGCAGTCTACCTGAAAAAGAATTCAGAGTAATGATAGCACAGATGATCCAAAATCTTGGAAATAGAATGGAGAAAATACAAGAAATGCTTAACAAGGACCTAGAAGAACTAAAGAGCAAACAAATGATGATGAACAACACAATAAATGAAATGAAAAATTCTCTAGAAGGAATCAATAGCAGAATAACTGAGGCAGAAGAACGGATAAGTGACCTGGAAGATAAAATAGTGGAAATAACTACCACAGAGCAGAATAAAGAAAAAAGAATGAAAAGAATTGAGGACAGTCTCAGAGACTTCTGGGACAACATTAAACGCACCAACATTCTAATTATAAGGGTTGCAGAAGAACAAGAAGAAAATAAAGGGACTGAGAAAATATTTGAAGAGATTATAGTTGAAAACTTCCCTGATATGGGAAAGGAAATAGTCAAGTCCAGGAAGCACAGAGAGTCCCATACAGGATAAATCCAAGGAGAAACACACCAAGACACATATTAATAAAACTATCAATAATTAAATACAAAGAAAAAATATTGAAAGCAGCAAGGGAAAAGCAACAAATAACATACAAGGGAATCCCCATAAGGTTATCTGCTGATCTTTCAGCAGAAACTCTGCAAGCCAGAAGGGAGTGGCAGGACATATTTAAAGTGATGAAAGGAAAAAACCTACAACCAAGATTATTCTACCCAGCAAGGTCCTCATTCAGATTCGACGGAGAAATTAACACCTTTACAGACAAGCAAAAGCTAAGAGAATTCAGCACCACCAAACCAGCTTTACAACAAATGCTAAAGGAACTTCTCTAGGCAGGAAACACAAGAGAAGGAAAAGACGTACAATAACAAACCCAAAACAATTAAGAAAATGGTAATAGGAACATACATATCGATAACTACCTTAAATGTAAATGGATTAACTACTCTAACCAAAAGACATAGACTGGCTGAATGGATACAAAAACAAGACCCATATATATGCTATCTACAGGAGACCCACTTCAGACATAGGGACACATACAGACTGAAAGTGACAGGATGGAAAAAGATATTCCATGCAAATGGAAATCAAAAGAAAGCTGGAATAGCAATTCTCATATCAGACAAAATAGACTTTAAAATAAAGACTATTATAAGAGACAAAGAAGGACACTACATAATGATCAAGCAATCAATCCAAGAAGAAGATTAACAGTTGTAAATATTTATGCACCCAACATAGGAGCACCTCTATACGTAAGACAAATACTAACAGCCATAAAAGAGGAAATCGACAGTAACACAATCATAGTAGGGGACTTTCATACCCCACTTTCACCAATGGAGAGATCAACCAAAATGAAAATAAATAGGGAAACACAAGCTTTAAATGACACAGTAAACAAGATGGACTTAATTGATATTTATAGGACATTCCATTGAAAAACAACAGAATACACTTTCTTCTCAAGTGCACATAGAACATTCTTCAAGAGAGATTATATCTTGGCTCACAAATCAAGCCTTGGTAAATT